ACTCACCAAAGCTCCTTCTTCCTAGGTTATCTGACTGAAGCCCAGCAAGAACTCCAGCCTCCTCCAGCCTGGAGGCCCTGGGAGGTTATAACAAGCCAGGCTATCTGACTCAGATCTGCCAATTCCAAGAAAGGGTCTGCTGAGTGCCTTACTACGCTGCTAGGTGTCCCAGGCGGGCTCAACTAGTGATGTCCTGGCTGTCATCACTGTCCACTCCCACGTCCTCTCCATCCCTAAGGAACAGGGCACATCGCTTATTCTTTCCCTCCTTGGTGAAAGATTGGAGAAGTTCCCTTGTGTTAGGGGGTGTGTGGCCTGTCCATGATTGACTGAGTGGCAAGGAGAGGCGTAGGTGGCTCAACAGAGGCAGGTGCCAGAGAAAGATGCCAACTCCAGAGCGGAAGCCCCAGTTCCCAAGCCAACCACATACACTCCTATATGGAGTCTGAATCCCCCAACACCTCCTAGTCCCCACATCAGACCCCCAGGCCCTGGAGTTCCTTGTGGAAGTCACAGAGGAAGCCTTGGTCTGTAAGGAGTTGACTGACAATCGGAACCAGGAACCCTATCTTCCAAGAGCTGCAGAGTGCTAGCCGCCACCCAGGTGGCCAAAGTTAAGCTCTCAGTGGAAGTTCCTGCGACTGCCCTTCCCAGGTGAGGATCATAATGCCTTCTATTTCCATCCCAGGGTGAGAGGCCAACAAGTCCAGGGTGAGGCCAGGCTTCTGCCTCCTCCTCAGTGAGTATAACCAGAAGCCAGGATAGCTTGTGTGTGTGCAAGTGTAAGTCAACAGTCTGCCAAAGAGAGCAATGTGTTTTCTGTACCTCCATAGTAGGTTTCTCTGCTGGCACAGTTAGCCAGATCAAGCCAAACTGAAAGAGTAAAAGAACAGGTTTGGGATGAGAGATGGCTCAGAGGTTAAGAGCACTGGCTATTCTTCCAGAGGTCCTGAGTTCAGCTCCCAGCAACCACATGGTGGCTCACAACCACCTATAATAAGTTCTGGTGCTTTCTTCTGGTGTGCAGGCATACATGTAGGCAGAACACTATATACATAATAAATAAATCTAAAAGAGGTAAAAAAAAAAAAAAAAGGACAGGTTTGCTTTGAGCAAAGCAACTCCAGGTGAGTTCTCCAGCTCCAGGGATTGAGGCAGAAGAGGCAGAGGAAGTCACACACCAGAATCAAAGCAGGGAGCCTAAATACCCTGTAGGTGATAACATATCTTCCAGAAGGTGGTGTGTGCCCAAGTATGTTAGGCTTTAGGCCAGAACCTGGGCTGCTGGCAACTTGAGGGGAGGAGACGCTGCAGTTGCCAAGAATGTGAACTGGGCTTTTTGGCATCTTTTTCTTTGTTGGAGATTTCCTGACAGGGTGGGGTTTGGAGAGAGAGGAATGGGCCTTTCTGGATCCAGCAGCAGTGAGCTGGAGATTCTAGCCAGAGAGAAGGGTTCTCAAGGCCCCACCTCTCCCTGAGGAGCTGCAGGTAGTTAATGGATGCTGGGGGAAAGAGACATTATCCTCAGTGGTGGAGCCACCTGTAAGTTACCTGTGCTCTTGTCAATAGCCCTTCACCCATGTCTCCATTGTTCTATCTTCTAACCTTTATTTCTATTTTGTAGGTACGGATGTTTTGTCTGCATGTATGTATGTCTGTGTACCACATGTGTGCAGTGCACGCAGAGGCCAGAGGAGGGCAATAGATCCTCTGGAAACTGAATGGATGTGAGCTGACAGTTGGGTGCCAGGAATCAAACCCAGGTCCTCTGGAAAAGCAGCTAGTCCTCTTAACCGTCTCTCCTGCCTGCTCACCCACGCCTCTGTAAGCAATCCTAATGAAACTCAGCGGATCACACACACACAAGAGACATAGAGCAAAAGGGGACTAGATGGAAAGAGGAACGGCATCTGTGGGAGTATGAAGAGAAGAGAGGGTGATGGGTGAACCAGAATACATCGTAAATACGTAGGAAAAATATCATGGAACTCATTATTATATGTAATTCATACATGCTAATAAAAAAGACCAGAGGGCCATAGCTGGCTGCTTTCTGGGGTGACGTTGTACTCTTGGGGTGACATATTTTTTAATTACATTTTTTTTTCTTTTTGTAAAGATTTATTTATTATGTATACAGTGTTCTGTCTGTCTTGCTGGCCAGAAGAGGGCACCAGATCTCATTACAGATGGCTGTGAGCCACCATGTGGTTGCTGGGAATTGAACTCAGAACCTCTGGAAGAGCAGTCAGTGCTCTTAACCTCTGAGCCATCTCTCCAGCCCCTTAATTACATTTCTTGAAAGAGAGAGAAGGAATGGCATAGAGTCGGGGTGGTGTCAGAGGATAACCCGCAGGAGTCACTCTCTACTTCTGCTGTGTGCAGTCCAGGGACTGAACTTAGAGCATCGGGCTTGGCACCAGCACCTTTACCTTTGGAGATGATTTCTGTTCCCGAGGCATCGCAGGATAGAACAACATACCCACTAGAGTCACCCCACATAGAAATCCTGTCTCCTGTTCCTCACCCTGTTCTGTCCTAACCCTGCCTGGTCCCTGAGGAGGCAGCCTGCTTTGCTAGAATTCTGTCTTTATCCTGTCCATCTATCACTTAAGGATCCAGGAAGACTGGTGCCAGCTTCTTAACTCAGGGATGCCCGAGTTTAAGGGTGGGAAGGGGGTCTGCCTCAGGGACCCCGCTGGCTCTGACTGAACCCCCCAACCTCCAAGGCACCCAGTCACTGAGCCCCTCCAACCCAGCAAGGGGCCTGCTGTATCTCCTTCTGGGTCTGGTCTCTTTGGTTCTCTCCTAGCTCTACCCCACCCTCCAAGGGCAATGTGGTAGTATTATACTTCTGTAGGGCTTCTTTAGGCCTCCCTGCTGCCAGCTCTAGGTCCTTGACTCCACCCCTTAGCCCTTCTACAGAAGCCTGCGGGGATCCAGGAGATCTTTGGGGGTGGGAAGTTGGATCGTTAGAGCAGAGAGGTCAAGGCAGGTCTGCCCCTCCTACTGCTGTAGAGCTCCGCCCTGGCTCTGAAGCGCCCACATCCTAACTGCATAAAAGGGGGTCCTGGCTTTAAGCTGCTGTGCGTGCGGTCCTTGCTGCCTTCCTCTCCTCTTCTTAACAAGTGGCCCATGATCTTCCACAGGCAGAGTCGTGAAAGCCAAAACAGAATACTTCCACTTTGGTAGGGCCAGCTCTGTACAAAGTCACATTCAGGTCCCTCTTAGACTGGCAGGGAGGGTCCACCTATGAGCAATGCAGGAGGAGTATGTGGCTTGGACGAGTCTGTCATGTACCCCCATGCACACCCTCTGCAGGCCTCCCTGGGCCAGCAGCGGTTTCCCACTAGATCATAAAAGCTGGACAAAGCCAGGGGCCTGCTGATGCAGCATCTTCCTCCTTACCACAGGACAAAGGGATGAAGGGGCTGTGCTCAAACGCAAGATGCTGACACAAATTTTCTGAGCATAGCTAGATTTTGTCAGAGGCTCCAAGATCACTGGGTCATGGCAGGGGCAGGTCGGAAGATGGCGACTTCACAGCTTTCTCGGAAAGCTGGGATGACTCTGGCACTTGGCATGTGCTGAGTGGCCAATTCCAGAGTTCCTGATAAGACAGAACCTGTCAAACACCAATACTCCCTGACACCCATGAGGTCATCTGGCCCTATTTATCCTGGCTGCTGGGGGCCTTGGCATCGCTTCTGGGTGAGGGTCTTGGGCCCTTCTGGGTATGCAGCCACGGTGCATGGCTAAGAATCCACCAGCCCAAGTGGATGAAGGTTAGGAGGTGGTAGTGGCAGCAAGGGTTTAGAGCCAGAGGGGAAGTGTCTCTAATGGCTCCCTCCTAGAAGCGGGCATGCACCCACTGACTCCAGTCCAAGCTGGGCCTGGTGGTAGGATGTGAAAGGGGGCTCGGTGCTCACCTCTCACACCTGTGGTCTTGTCCCTTGGGCATTTTGATGGGGACAGGGTGTGATGCTGTGGCCCCTACAGAGATGGCTCTGGATGACCGTCCCTCAGACCCTCTGGACTACTGTTCATCCCTTCTTTTACTGGGGGGGGGGGCACTTGAGACAGGGTTTCTCTACTAGAACTGGCTGTTCTGGAACTCAGTTTGTAGAACAGGCTGACCTTGAACTCAGAGATCTGCCTGCTTTTGCCTCCCAAGCTGAGATTAAAGGCATGGGCCACTACACCTGGCTCTAATGTCTATCCTTTCTACGATGAGGGAGATCATACTGTGTTGGACAGGGGTCTAGGATACCTTCTGGGGACATACACATGGGGACATACTCATCAGCTCCTGGTGAGACAAAAAAAAACAGGTGCACTAGAGAATCTACCCTAAACTCCACAAAGCAGGTGGTACTGAAGCCTATAAAGAGGGAGCCAGAGATGGGGATGAGCTCCTGTCAGGTGACCAGAAGGGATCCTGGGGAAACATGCACAGGTTGCAAAAGCATGGAGCCTACCATGCAGGGCCTGGGTTTTGGGGGTGGTCATCTTTTAGTGGAATGCACGTAGCCAGGGTTCAAAGTAAGACCTCAGATGCTGCTTCCAGGACCCTCTTCAGAGGTCATATTAAAGCCGGATAGATGCCTCCTCAACTCCCTCAGAGCCCAAAAGGATAAGGCAGTGAAGAACAGAACAGCTGCCAGCCCCAGAATCCCCGGCTCAGCCTGGATAAGCTCCCCCAACATGTAGTTGCCTCTCTGCCCACTTGGGGGCAGGCCTGGCCAAGGGGAGGGGACAGAGGGAGCCACACATCCAAATGAGGAAAGGTGGGCCAGGTGAAGAGGAAGAGCCACTTTGTTGACAATAAATTAAATATAACCGTGACTCAGGCTGGGCAGTGGCCCACTCCTGTAATCTCTCAAACGGGGACTTTTAGGCCAGGTTACCCATGTTCTTCCACAGCCAAACCTCTTCCCGAATTCTCCCCAGTACCCTCACCACAATCCCACTGGACAAACGACGTCCCAGAAAGCTGGATTTGAATTGACTTTATTATTCTGTAAATGTGAATTTTACAAAGCGCTTTACAATTAATGATGACATCCGTTTGTCATGGACTTCCATCTCTGAAACAGCTCTGAGCGCAGGCTCGGAGCCCTCGGCTTTCCCTGGTCAGCTTGCCCACAATTGCCGTGGTTTTAGTTATTGATACAATGTTGTCAGCCATGGCTACAAAGTAACAGTCTTGTCGCTACAGGGTCACAGCACAGAAAGAGAGAGAGGAGGAGGATGCTGGAGGGACAAAATAAAGGCCTCCTCCTCCCCCCTGAACAAAAGAAAGCCAAGATGTGGCATCTGCTCTAGCTCGGTGGTTCTGTGAAGCCCTCCTGAGAGGTAGGGGAGCAACTGATTTTATTAACTTATTTTCTAACAGTCATGAGTTATGATACTACTTCAACCCCTAGACGGTGCCTTCAAAACAACCCTCTCTTGGGCCCTTTTCTCCAAACATCCCACCGTAGGGACGAATGTTCTCCTTGCACCCAGAACGTTCAAGTAAAAAATATTTATACATTTTATACTTTCTCTTTTTGTCTGCTAAAAATAGTATTGCAAATTTTGGCTTCTTTTGACATAAAAATCACAATTGTGTGCAAAACGCTTGCAATGAGGTGACTGATGGGACGCAAGCAGAGGCTACTCAGTCAGAATGCTTTCGATCCTGCATCCTTTTCCTTTTCTGGGACAACAAAACAAACAAAAGCAAACACCTTTGCCATTTCTGAAACACTGTATCAAGCCCTTCTTGCAGCAGCACAGGCCGGGCTGGCTGACATCACGCAGAACCACACAGCAGCACCATTCGAAGCAGTGGTTAAAGCTGAGATGTCACATGCTCTCCGTTCCAATTCGGGATCCACAGCAAGCAGATCCTAACAGGCTCTCTTAAATTTTCAGCTGGTTGGTGGGCCATCTGCCCTTCCCACTTCACCTTTGGGGAACCCAAGCAGGGCACAATGGGGTGAGGCGGGGCAGAACAGGGGCAGCACTGGGCTTAGGAGGTTCCTGCTGTTGAACCAGGTAGCACCAGGCACCCCAGAGTCCCCTGGAGGGGACAGGCCCTGCGAGCTTGCCAGTCCCTTACAGGCCCTTCCTTCCACCTTCCTCTTGGTAATAATCTGAATAAATGCCACACAGCTAGTTTTCCTGGAGGCCCAGACCTGCCGTCACACCATGCAGGACCCTTAGGGTCTCCTTTCGATTGCCTTTCACACACCGCTGCATCCACATTCAAGGGCAAAGTAAGACACCAAATCAGACGCTAGCTGAAGCAACTGGTATAGAAAACAAGACAGAATTCAAGTACTGAGTCGGCCAGGCAGGCAGGTAGCCCCTCCAAGCTCACAGTATCAGCCCTGTCTCTGGTCCCTTGCCCTGGACCCCGCTATGCTTGTCCCAGCTGCCTCAGGGACGGCTGTTTGCTCTGGGAGGGCAGAGGAGTGGTGGCTGGATTAAGCCCCACCCCAGCGGCTCCAACACAATCCAGTCCCAACTGTCCTCATGGCAAAGATGCTGATGTAGCAATAGTTTCTACAATAGACTCTACATAGTATATGCATATTGCTAGTAGTCAAGCTGGGAACAGAGGTGCAGACATCTGACGAATAACTGAGAGGATCTCATCTATAGGGTCTGGACAAGCCAGGGACACGTGACAGGACAAGACAGGCCCGATTCTGGAATTAGTCATCTTGTAAACAAAGGAGGGGGGGAATCTGGTTTTTAAAATTGGTTTTCCTTGGAAAAAAAAAATAATCAAAAGATGCTAAGGCACTCTGGAAGGCCCCTCGGAGCCCAGGCCTGCCACCCGCCTGCCTTGCAGTACATTCAGGATGCAGAGGGAGTGCCCCTCCAGCAGGTACAGTCATTGGCCATGCATGTCTGCAAACGCTCCCCACCATGTCCACCATGGGACACATTAGTGCAAAACGCTCTGCCTGGCCCACCCGGGGCACAGGGAGAGCTCAGAATCCATTCACATTTAATTAATATTATTGAAGTTTTACCTATAGTTCTTGCCTTCCTTACCCAGAACAAAACAGATGGCAATTATAAACACTAAAGGACAGAGGTTGAGGACATTGTGCTAGCCCGAGCAGTGGTCAGGCATTCTGTGCGGCCACCGTCTCCTCCAATGGCCAGCGGCACCCTCCCCATGCTGGCCCAGGGAGGGGACCATGCCCATATTGGAGTGGAGGGATGAGAGAGAGCCCTTCTGCCACCAGCCAAAACAGGTGGGTCTGTCTCCCAAAGGTCCCCAGGGATGGTCAAATTAAAGTGCAAATTTGGGTGGGGAAAGCAGATAAAGGAATATTCCAGAGGCGAAGGGCACAGCCCCCCACCCCCCAATCCTGCCATACCCTCCACAGTTCTATGGTCTTCTCCCAGCACCAGGAGGGTTTGGTCCAAGTCACTAAACGGCTGGCTGGGGCTGCAAGCTACCTAGGACTAAGATGGGAATGGGAGAGGTGAGATCCATCTCCGGGTGGCTAGTTGCAGAGCTGGATACTAGCTAGCCTCCGTACTTACCCCAGGAGCAGGGAGAGGGGCTCAGGGCAGTTCCCACAGTGCCTTCCCTGATACCCCTTTCCCTTTCCCCAACCACAGGTCTTTCAGAAGAGGGGGAAGACATGTACTTATATTGTTAGCATAGTGCGTGGGCTACCTGGGAGGCCACTCCAAGGCAGGGCAGCGCCAGCAAAAATAATAAACTAAGGGGGGGGGGGCACAGAAGGACTAAACTGGACCTCAGGCTCTCCTACCATGGCCCTCCAGATGGGGAGAGGCTACCCAGTCTGTGGGCATACGGGGGGGGGGGTGTCATAGTGCAGCAAATTCAAGATGTTTAGAGGGATGGGAACACTAGACCTTTCTTTCAGGTTTGGAATCGTGGGTGTCATGGGCACTTCAGGAGCTGCTAGCCTTTGCGGGTGAGCAGGCAGTCCCTGGACACAAGTCCAAAAAGAGACACTTGGGTACGTGGCCTCAAGAGCATATCCCACACTTAGGAGTAGACACTAGCTACTCCTCAAAGCCCCTCCCTCAGGAACCACTCTCAGGATTTTCCAACTTTCTGGTCCCCAATGACATCCACAACCTGCCTACTACCCCAGCCCAGGCCTATGCCTGCCAACAACACAGGCACCCACAGTGAGCAATAAGCCCACCCTGGGCAGCGGAGTCCTGCTAGCTAGGCCTGACTTGTACACGACTAGCTGTTCTTTCCTGGGCCCGATCTGCCTCCAGTGGGAGGCCAAGATGGAGGTCCATGGCTGTGTATTCACCCAAATCTGTGGTAGGCTGGGGATAGAGACTTTAGTCCCTCACTGATTTTTTTTTTTTTTTTTTTTTAGCTATGTTGGGTCTGAAAGTTTCCAAACCACAAACAAAATAGATCTGAACTAAACAAAAACAGCAAACAAGCAAAATCCCAGAGTGGCTAGAGAGGCAGAGGGTGGTGAGGGCAGCCATGGCCAGGGGCATGGAGACCCTGGGGGGTCAGCAGGCCAGCCGCTGGGGGTCTAGGTGGAGCTCAGTGAGGACATGGGTATGGGGAGAGAACGCCTCGTCCTTCCCCCACTCCCAGGTGACCAGCCACAGCCACTGCTGCAGGGCCATCACTGGTTTCTGTGCATGCGCGCGCATGCATGCATACACACACACACACACACACACACACACACACACTCTCTCTCTCTCTCTCTCTCTCTCTCACACACACACACACACACACACACAACACACACAGACTCACTCTCTCACACACAGGTGGCTTCTTGGGAGGAAGGAAAACAAGAGAAATCTGGCCTCTGGAGGCCCAGCACTGCCCCACTGGGGGTCCTTATGGGTAAGAAATGGAGTGTCATGTCTGCCCCTCCACCCACAGGCCACTACTACCCCAGTTTCCGCTTTCAGAGCAGGAGGAATAGGAAGGGTAGATGAGGCAGGGTCAGGGCCGGACATCAGGGACCTGGTGGCCTCCTCTACCTCCCCAAGAAGGGGGAGGGGAGCACTACCATGGGAGACTGAGCTGAGGAATATCAAAAAGTCGCCCTGGGACCTTCCTCCCAGAGCACGGCCAGTGGCCTAAATGTTTACAGTATAATGAGTGTGTTTGTTTCCTTCATCCATTTTAAATACAGGCAGAATAAAAATCACATTTTTGTCAGGCAGCAGTAGCAGTTCAGTAGGTAAGTGGCTTGATCACATTTGTTTGTATTAGTAACGCATGCAAGCAGCTTTAGTACTCGGTCCCTTGTGAGTCGGCCTTGCTGGCCCCTTACAAGGTCCCTGCATAGGTGCCCTCTGGCCTTCTCGTTGCTGCGGCCACCGGTGTCTGAGGCCTGCTAGAGCTGGTGTTGCCCTGCTCAAAGGCCTGAGGGGGGCTCTGGCCATCAGCAGGCAGTGGCTCGGGGGCAGCCACCTCCTGGATAACCGAGCCTGCCCCATCCGCCTCCTCGCTAGCCTCGAAGGCAGGGTTGGCTGAGGCGCTCAGATCCACATTCACAGCATCAGTTCTCAGAGCCACGATGGTGGCGGCGTCACTTCGTCGCTCAGCATAGATGCGCTGCTCAAACACCTGCGAAGCAGCCGGCGGGAACTCGGGGTCCAGGGGCAGGCTGGCGGCTGAGGCGCCCATGACGGTGCGGTACATCTCCACACCCTCGGGCAGCATGGACTTGATCTTCGGCAGCCAGCGCTTGCGCACACGGCGAGCATTGGTACACATGTCTGCCGCAATCACGTTCATCTCGCTCTCCTTGAAGCTGGGGGCGAAGTTCTGACAGTACACTGCAGGGAGAGGTGGAAGGACGTGTAAGAGTGGCCTCTCCCCTCACTGCTCGGCCCACTGCTGCCCAAGTGTCCACAGAAGTGAGGTGCCCAGGACTGGCCTGTCTGCACTCTAGGTTCCCACTGAGACTCCCTCGATTTGAGCTTTGGGATGATGTCTATGACTAAGGTTAGTCAGCATGGGTGCCCATCAGGTTTGGACCTGTGTCTAACTTCTCTGGTCTTCCCACCTTCACCTGCAAACCGGGACAAGTAGAAAGAGGGTCCTCCCCACATGAGGAGCTGGTTTGCCAATGCCCTGGTTTCAGACACAGCAAACAAAAAGGAAGGTGGGTGTGTCATCTTCAATTAAAACAAAAGCACTCCTCTGTTTCCTACCAGGAGCTGGAGACCAAGGTCAGGCCCAGGTCCCCAGAGAGCAGGAACAGGTCCCTGAGAGCCCAGCATCTTTAGGTCCTATTGCCACCTCCATTCCTCAAGACTGCAATTACCCACTGCTAAGACTCTTCCTCTAGAAAACAGAATTAGTATCACAAAGGGAATTTCTAAGCAAGACAATAAGACGTTTCTTCCACAGGCGGCTGTGCTCTGGGCCAGTCTGTGTGTGTGTTGGGTTGCACGGCTTCTTCTGAGGGTACGGGGCTGGGCGGTGGCTTGCCACAGAGATGGACTGGGCTCCGCCCCACCACGCAGGAGCGGGAGGCAGAAGCCGGCCGAACAGATGGCAAAGGCTCAAAATAACCTCAACATGTAAATAAGGGGTTTTGTTCAAAAAGGAAAATTAGATCTATTTCACATATTAAAATAGTTTCGCAGCTGAATTCATCACACTTGGAAACCTACCAAGGACGTTAACACCTCGAGACGAGTTTTGCTTGCTGCTCTTTTCTCCCTCCTGGTCCCAGTCCCAGTGCTACAGGCCAAAGCAAGCATTCGAGACAGAAGCCCATCATGGCCCAGAATAACCCTGGGGCCCAACTTAGCCTGCCTCAGGTTGGGATCTCAATCCTAGATGGGATCCTGCAGGTTCCCAGACCGCACTGTGACCCGGCACCACCCACTCACGTTTCACAGCGTTCAGGACTCGGCTGTCCAGTGGCTTTCGGCTCGGGTCACTGGTGGACGAGCGTATGCCAGTGCCACAGCTATTGGCCAGTGTGTTCCTGGAGGAGGGAATGAGAAAAAGTGGCAGGGTTGGTTCAGAAGTGACCTAAGGAATGGGGCCCTCCACCCACATACTATGTGAAAAAGCCAACATCACCACACCGCCCCTGTGTCTCCCTTGAACAAGTGTGCATGTCTTCTGAGTCAAGGCCAATGTGGGGAGAAGGCTCAGCCTTTCTGTAAGGGAGTGACTAGCTCCGGCACTGGCCATGGGACACCCAGCGCCTCCGGAGTGTGCTGCTTCTCCTAGGGGAAGGGAGACACAGTCAGTCTTTCTCTAGGCTGAGCCCTGGCATAGAGGATGTGCTATCTTTCTGGAGCTTTTCCAGGGCATCTCCAGGCCAAATGTCCACATTAGTGTTAGGAATGAATGTTAACGTTGTGAAAGTTCCAAGCTTTGATGACCAGAAGCTCACAGCTAGAGGAACCTCTAGAATCTTCTGCCACCCCCTATACACCTACCTGTCAAAGAAGGTGGCCAGGAGCCTCCTCAGCAGGACCTTGTGCTTCACCCCTGCACACAGATGGCAGTTCATGAGCTGGCCACGTGTGATGTAGACCCCGGAGCCTAAAGCCAGCAAACATCAACATATGAGGTCTTCAGCATTATAGACCAAACCTGGCCTCATGCCCTCTAAGGGGATGCTAGGGTCACAGAAGACTGCAGGGGAGCCTAAGGAGGGGTGGAAGGTGAAAAGGGGCCTCCAGAAAGAACTCTCAGTTCTGCCCTGCTGGAGGACACTAGGGTTGGAGGATGCTAAGGCCAAGCTCTTCCCAACTTACATCATCAACTGAAATCTAGCAGGGCTGGGAACACTGTGACAAACCTATAGCTTCAATGTCTCCTAAACTCCCAGCTTCCCCTTTTCTCATGTTTGTTTGTTTTTGTTTTATTTTCTCAAAACAGGGTTTCTCTTGTAACAGCTCTGTAGACCAGGTTGGCCTCAAACTCACAGAGATCTGCCTGTTTCTGCCTACCAGTGCTGGGATTAAAGGTGTGCGCCACCATGCTGGCTCATCTTTCTTATTTGCTTTGCTCCCTTTCTGAGACAGAGTTTCTCTGTGCTGGCTGCTGGAACTCACTTGGTAGACCAGGCTGATATCTCTCTCTCGCTCTCTCCACCTGCCTCTGCCTCCAGCATGCTGGGACAATAGGCGTGCACCACCCACCATGTCTGGCTGCTCATCTTATTTCTGATGAAGCATGCAGTAGCTAAACCTTTTTGTTTCAAGACAAACTCTTACTGTATAGTTTAGGCTTGCCTCCAATCCTCAATTCCCCTGCTTCAGCCTCTCAAGTACTTTGGTTACAGGTGTGCATACCGCACCTAGTTCCCAGATCTTCCCATCAGCTCTGTCTATTAGGTCTTGGCAGAAAGAAGAGCCTAGGTCGCTGGGTGGTGTTGGTGCAGGTCTTTAATCCCAGCACTCAGGAGGCAGAGGCAGGCAGATCTCTGTGAGTTTGGGGCCAGCCTGGTCTACAAGAGCTAGTTCCAGAACAGGCCCCAAAGCTACAGAGAAACCCTGTCTGGGGAGCGGGGGGAGGGAAGGGGAAGAAGAGCTTAGATGAGGAAAGAAACCTGCAGTCACTTAACGAACAATTCTACCCTCTTAAATGGCTTCTCAGCAGTCTGAGAGACTGTCTCTAGCTCCCAGAGAATTTATCATATCCCAGGACTTGGTTGGAGCACTCCCACATTGCCTACCGGAACTGGTAATAAAGTCTCTAAGGCAGTGGTTTCCAGGAGAGGGGACAACTGGACAGAATCGAGTGTTGCCCAGGATGTAGTAGTAGGGGGTGTCAGGGAGAAGCAAGAGATGGTGGCTCAGGCAGGACTGAGGAATCTGTCCAACTTGCTAGGGGCTTCCCAAGTAAACAAAAAGAGCAATTAAAGACCAGACCTGGTGACTCACACCTTTAATCCCATCACTCAGGAGACACCAGCAAGAGGATCTCTTATGAGTCGAAGCCAGCCTCAAGGCAATTACAGCAAGCAGTGTGGGGACCAACGGGGTGCCACCCACTTGGATCTTGTTGGATACTGCCTTACAACATGCAAGGACCCCAATGCTAAAGGGATGATGTTTCTGAAAAGGTGCTTTCCTTGAGGGCTTCTGGAGTCTACTCTGGACTGTGAGATACCATTCAGACAGACTGGACAGTGGGGTAGGAGGGACACTGGTAAACATGACTTCTTCTATCTGTGACCTAATTTAAAATACATCATGGATATAGCCCCTGCCAATCAGGAGCCTGGCCAGCTCAGGGGACTCAATTAAAATGCTAAATTAATTCAATTGAATAACTCCTCTTAATGACACATTCTTCTAAAAAGAAATCAAAAGAAATTTAAGATGTTCTTTTTTTCTTTCTTTTTGACTGGTGATGAGTGAGTGCATTGTTCATAGCGCTGAGAAATAATGGCTAGGACATTTGCATACAGTGACGATGATGGGCGGGGCCACCTCACCTGCTACAAGCTCCAGTTTCTCTCCAGGGTCACCCTCCGAGTAGAGCTTCGGGTGGCAGCGGTACCCGATCTGGCTGATGAGGCTGGCAGGCAGCGCTACCAGGTCGCGACGGATGAGGACACAGGAGCGACTTTCCAGGGGCACGGGCTCTGGCTTCTCTTGTACTAAGGCAAAGAACTAATCCAATTAGGTGGGAGTCTGCGGGTGAACCTGGGTTGCTCTGTACCTGCCTACCACACCCCCCAAGGCCCAGGTTAGAAACACTCCATCAGTCTGGGGCTAACCTAAACCCAGGGCAGCCAGCCCTCCACACTATACAAGCAGTGTGCCCACCTCCAATCCAGCCCTGGCCTGCAATGATGCCTCCTGATAGCATGAACGGGAAGACAGCCAGTGAGAAATGCCTGCCTAGGCCTGGCAACAGGCTGCAGAGGGCGAGAGGTGGTTCCCACAGTGTCTACCCAGTTGGCTATTGGTTAGGTGGGAGGGGGGCATAGGGCATGTTCTGGAAGCAGGATACAGACAACCTGACCAGAAGAGACCTTGAAGCTGCAGGAGGAGTTTGAACTCAGCAGTCTGCATCTTTCAGAGAGTAAGGCTGCCAGGAAAACCCATGGAAGACACAGGCAGGGAGGGAAACAGAACAGGACCTCAGGCTCTCTTCAGAGTGGCTTCATGCAAGAGGTAACCAGACTCGACTAGTTCTACTTGGCAGGTGAGCGGATGAGTGTCTTAGCACATTCGGGGACATGGCCTCTTGGACTATTTTAGCTTGGCACAAGGAAGTGCTCCTAAATATTTGTCAAAAGCAAAGACAGCAGTCCGCCATCCCTGTTGTCTGGGGATGTTCTGGCAAACCATGTCTGGAACAGGCAGCTCTGAGGCTGCACCCATCATGCAGGTCCACAGGTGAGTGCAGGACACCAGTTAGCCAGCATCAGCCTCCAACAGGCAGGAAGAACAATCTCTTACAAGTCACAGAGGGCTCGGGCCAAGGCTTCTTATGAAGGACTACTTGCTGGGCACCCTATGCTACAAGACATAGGAGGCCCGGTGGTCCTAACCCCAATCCTGCAGTCTGTCTCAGTTCCTCCATTTCCCCACTGCCTCTTCAGCCCCCTTTCCCAGGAGGCCTTGCACTTGGGCTAGTCTTTTGGCTAATCCTTGGTCCGTGTTCCCATAGGCCACAGAGACTGGCATTAACACGTACTCCACCTTGCTCAGAGAGAGGCCACAGGTGCCATATTACTCTCTCCCGTGTTCCCAGCACACAGGTTAGGTCCTTAGAGGGCCACCTGTTCCAAGCCAGCTGTTCTCTGATGTGTGTTTCTATATTTGTGTATGTATGTGTTTGTGTATGTGTGCATCTGTGTGCATTTATGCATGCGTGCTTGTGTATTTGAGTGTGTCTATGAATGTATAAGTCTGTATCTGTGTCTGTGTGGTGCAGGCAGGACTTGGCCCTAAGACAGCTAGAATTTGTTGGCCCCACAGGCTTAGAGCCTGGCAGGCTCAATGCAGGTAGCTCAGACTTCGACCTTGCCCTGAGACAGCTCCAAGATCAGACAGACACAGGTACACCTGGTTGCTCCAGATGGGCTAGCTTCCTGTCCCTCTTCATAATAACCACACGGTAAGGACGCTCAGTGCTTCTTAGCAGGGGCCACTGTGCAGGGGCCCCATGAGGACAGATGGCACAGGAAGGATGTGAAAGTCATTTTAACACACTGTTCCTGAGGGAGATGTTGGGACATCCATCCCTAAGGGCCAACATCTGGGTTCTGAAGTGACCACCCACACCCTAAGGGTTTGAGAACAGAAGACAGGGTGGGAAGCCTATGTGAGTCTCCCAGATGCCTCAGGCCCGCTGCTGCAGCTCCGGATAGCGTCTCCACCTGCGTCTGAGGAAGTCTCAGAGCCGGCAGACAGACAGTGAGGACAAAAGCCAGAAAAATGGAAGATGCTGAGAGGCAGACCCCTGCCTGGTACCAACTGCTGGTCAGGCTGGCCAGGTGGCATTTCCCAACCAGCGGAGGAGAATCGTTACAGCCCGGAATTACCCAGAGACCGAGGGAACACATCAAACAATCCGGATGGTATTTTAAAACATAATTATCCGCCCCCCCGCCCCCCGCCCGCTGTGATTACACATGCAAACGAGCAGCGCTGTGCGTGGCATTTACATAAAGAGTGTTCACCAACAGAAATAATTCTCCGTCCTCAGCCAGCGCTCTCTCGAGATGTTTTTCTCAACAGCAGAAGTTGTTTGCGCTCCACACGCACACCCTCCCCAGCCCGGCTCCCCAAGAGCCAGAGACTGTCAGCCCAGAGCCCCAAAAAACCTCTTCTATTTCTGCCCTGCCAAGTGCTGGATGCTGTCGTCTCTAAAAATACACGAAACCGAGCCTCAGCTCATTGGCGAAGAAGGTACTCTGAACTCCTTCGGGTGCCTCCGCCCCTGCCCCAGGTCCCCACGGGGTGGCTTCGGTAACCACTCAGGCTACAGCTAAGTGGTTAAGGGAAACTCCAGAGACTCACTCCCAGAGGAGATTGGACCTTCATTCCCAGGAGACCTCAATGGGCACTGAGTCCAGGCTGGTACTTGTTCCAGGTGTGCTGGGACTCCAACATCCCTGTTCGCCCCACTCCTTACCCCCACATGGAGGATTGTGAGCTGAGGAGAGAGCCTGTGATGACATGAAATTCCCTGCATCCTGATCTCCGGTACCAGGAGACTTAAGTCTCCTATCATGCGGGACTGGTCCCAGTGGTATATCAATGTCACTTTCCCATTCCCCAGACCAGGTGACAAGGTTCTGGTTTCTAGGGCTGAGTATCCTAAGGAGAGCATGCTGAGGCATAGTTAGTGACCTCAATGAAGAGCTGACTAAACACTGAAGTGTAGCCTTCCTGGTCACAGCAGGAAGACCTGTTATGGGGCCTCCTTTCCCCAGGACCATTGACCCACCCCCTTTAGGTCACACCACAGAAGCCAATTGGATACTAGTGGCCACATGATATGTGGCTTACATTCCAGGGCTCTTAACATGGTCACCCAGGAGGCCTGCTAAGTCTCTGAGGCCCAGAGGCACCAAGTCTGGGTGGTAGACACGTAGGGCGCCCCAATTGTCCAAGAAGGGCATAGAAGGTCAAACCTGTAGGATTTCACTTTTGTGAGGTTCCCAGGTGTCAAGCCATATGAAACCAAGAGGTAAAATATTTTGAGTGGGGAATCCACGTCAGTTTGGGAAGCTGTCAGAAGTTCTATGGATAGGACGTTAGTGATGGCAGAACAATGTGCATATGTTAATGTCACTGAACAGCACACTGAAAATGACTACAAAATACTACCTTATAATATAAGGTATAAGCACATTTAAAAGAGGAAGAGGCTGGGCATTGTGGCTCAGGCCTAGAATCCTAGCACTAAGCAGACAGGAAGATCAGAGTTCAAGGTCATCCTTGTGAGAAACAAAGCAAAACAACAACAAAAACAAGGAAAATAAGCACTTTGGGTGTAGCTTAGTGATCGACCACATTCAGCTGGGATGAGGCCCTGCGAAAAGAGAGAGCAGGAGAGGGGGAGGGCAGATCCCACAGTCCGTTTCCCTCCCAGGGGTCTGCCCCCAGGAGACTGCTCAGCAGTAGCTCCCCTACTGTTCACTGATACCCTTGGGGTGAAGCATGCCAACAGCCCCATTTCTGGGAACCCCATCAAGAAGTCCCAAGTGATATAAACAGCTGCCAGTGGGTCAGAGCTGCACAGAGGCCTGGGGAAGGTGATCCCTACCTACTTCCTACTTCACAGACTAGTTGTACACACCACCCCCTCAAAATACAGAATCAGAAAACGAACCCTAGTTCTTAATTGTGAGTAGAAAAAAAATGAGCCCATGATGAGAGAAAAATGCCAACTTGCACTGGAAGACTCCCGGTAATGCTGCCGTCATCGAGACCACACGGGACCGACGGACAGACAGACGCTCATCCCAGAGCTGCCACAGGTGATCTGCACAAGCACACTCTGCTGGCTTACACTGGTGTGAGACAGTCAGCAGAGCTGGCTGACTTTTAGGCCCTTTACAGTCACCCCGCACCAAAACCAGGGCCGCTCTCATTCGGACCCTCACTCCTCCGATGCAGAAGTAATCCTGGAGACTTTTAGAAGTAAAGAGCAAGAAAAACCTGTTCTTGGATTTGGGTAAGAGTTCTGACATGATCCCGACAGCACAAACCCTGAAACAACCAGAAATGTCAGTTCTTCAAAGTGGAAAAAAACAGCAAACACTTATGTGAAAGTAACAAAATAAGTTGGCTACGGGTGGGAAGGACAAAGAAAACTCTCTCAAAACTCAACTTTTAAAAACAGCAGCAGCAGCAAAACGAGGGCTGGAGAGATGGTTCAGTGTTAAGAGCACTGCCTGGCTGCTCTTCTAGAGTTCCCGAGTTCAATTCCCAGCACACATAGAGGCTCACAACTGTAGCCCCATGAGTTCCAAGGCTCCCATCTGGTGTGCAGATGTACATACAGACAAAAGTGCCCGCACGCATAAATAAATCTTTAAGAATAAACCAACGAAGCGTCTGTTTAAAACACGGGCAGACATAGAGAAGATTTATGGATGAGAATGTGCACTGGTAAAGTGCTTGCTCAACATTCAGCCAAGAAACGAAACTGAAGCCAGGTAATGGTGGCACACGCCTTTAACCCCAGCACTGGGGAGGCAGAGACAGGTGGATCTGTGAGTTCGAGGCCAGCCTGGTATACAAGAGCTAGTTCCGGGACAGACTCCAAGGCTACAGAGAAACCCTGTCTCCAAAAACTATTAAACAAAAAAGAAATGAAACCAAAACCACAATAGAATAGCATCCTGTTCTTTGAAGTCAGGACCTAGAACCAGTTACGAGGTGGAACATGGCACCCCTGCACCGTCAGTGAGAGCAAGGATGAGAGCTACCTTGAAGAGCAGTCCCATGGCTTGGCACGAGTCAGAGTCTGGGAGTGAAGGGGTCACACTCATAAAGGACATCCACCTGAACGCGGTAGCCTTGTGTCTTAGGAACAGGTTTATAGGGATGAAGAGCAGGAAGTTTGGAGGAGGTAAGCGGACACTAGACCTCGGTGACTGATGGCTGGAAATCAGGGTGTGGGAGGTACTACCTG